TTTTTTTTTAATGAAATATAATATTTTCCTATAGAAAATAATCAATATTATGAAATTAAATAAAACCAAACATGTAGTAAATAATATGTAGAATAAGAATATTATGTAATGACATATCTCTCTTTAATTCAAATTATTTATTTATTACTCTCCATAATTCGAACATTTTGCTAAATCAAAATCCTCTATAAACCTGAAAATTTGGTCCCCTGAATTATTCAAATTCGAATTATTAAAAATATTTAAAAAAAAATGTTTCTCTTTCAATAGATTAAAATGCTATTTTACAATTTTAATTACGACAAAGGTATCTAAAAATACTTTAAACAAATATCTGGTATTTAATAGTTATTTATTTTTCTAATTATTTGGGATAAATATAACCAGATTCCTATTCCTTTTAAAACCAAATTAATTAATTTTTATTATGGAAATAATATTAACAGGGAAGTAAATTTAGTATTTGTTTAATTAGTATCTATTAATCTACATAAAAACATAAATCACATAAATTGGATGAAGTGGGGGCGCAAAAATGGATTAATGAGATTGGTGTCTCATTGAAATGTATAGGTGGATGAGTAAATGCTTAGGTGTTATACTGGAGTACTTGACTTTTTAGTTCTCACTAAGTACTAGAAAATTGGAATACAACTGTCAACTAGTATTTACTACTTTATAAGTATGTTTGAAGGTAAATGGATAGATAAGACAATAATCTTTTGTTGTCTCACAAATGAAGTTCCCTCCGCTACTGCATTTGAATATAGTATAAATTTCTGCAATAAGTACATATCTTTATTGCATACAATTTAATAAAAAGGTAAAATTATATTAAATGGAAAAAAAGCATAATATAAAATAATAATTATGGTCTTTTTTCTAATTAAATATACATGTTTTAATTAAATGATAAGACCGACATAATACAAATGTAGATCTACATAATTACATATTAAAATATAGATGTTTGTAGAAAGTATAGTAAATAACTATTTTCTATATTTTTAGTTTCTAAACAAATCAACAGTGACTACACAAGATTGGTTTATATATATTACAGACGCTTTTATGATACCTAAGTAAAGTATATTATATTATACATATATATTATACAATAAGATATAATATTTTGTTCGATGTTGATAACATTTAATAACTTTTATCTTTAGGACCTTGAGTTTGGCGGTCGAACCTGGTAATAAGCACTAAGTGACTACTGTCTACTTGTCATACTTTTTGTATACACTACATTAATATGTGCTGTTCTTAACTCGTTAAAATATGTAGGATCTTTATAAAAAAATCAAAATACCTACATTAAAGGTGGAGGTAAACTGCCATGTTGTGTGCATGCGTAAAAACAGAACTTTGGTATTTAAGAAAAACACAACTCACAAAATAATGATTTCTGCAAATTTTTTTTGCACTATCGTTCTTAGCTTGATGAAATACATGTTTCAAAAACCAAAAAAAAAACCAGAAAAACGCCAATGTGAATTTGTTCCATTATTTAATTATTCAAGTAATGTTTTATAATTGTATATAGATTAAGATATTTAAGGTGGTATTTATAATTTTTATTTATAACACTGGACATCCACCTCTTCCCTGCTGGCCAAAAAGAGGGGTGGATTTATACGAGTGCCTCGAGTCGCATCATTTCTAAATATTAGCCTGAAACCAATTTTATTTTATTATAAACCATATTATACAGGATGTAACAGAAAGAACTGACCAAAAAAAAATTATGCTACTTAAACGTACGACAAAAATTGATAAAATTATATGATTAATAAATAGTTTGAAAAATAAACCCATGTTAGAACATTTCCAAAAATAATATTTTTTAAATAGTTATTGCATTCCAAATTAGTTTAATCAAAAAATATTGGTATTTAAAAAAATTTTAAAAAATTAACTACTTGACTTAGATAAATTTTTTTACCATCCAAATCGTTCTTATAATCAGATTCACAAATTGGCTATTTTGAATTTATTCAAAAAAATTTAAGTCTAATTTAAAATTTTTCATTTTCAGTATTAAAAAATAAAAATAATTTTTTTTTTATTACATGTGTAGCGCAAGTAAGGTGCCGCATTTAGACATTAGCGCCCCGGTGCAAAAAAAAAAATTGGCACCTTTTAAGCCACGGTGAAAAAAAATTGCTCCCCCCTATAGATCCTGATTAACCTTTAAGATTTTGAGCACAGAAAAGAATATTTGTTTTACAATATGTGCTTTTTTTTTTAAATATTGTTTAGTAATTGCTTGATCCTCTCTCCTCAAAGATACATTTGAATTTATGTCACTTAAACCTTGCTCAGTTGCTTATAATTCATCATATAAGTTGTTTTTTTTAACATATTTATGTAGGTAGGTACTTCATGAATAAATAAAATAAAATTATATAAAACTATGCAAATTGATATTAATTGAAAAAATTTCAAACAGCATAATACTATATATATGTAATACTATTACACTAAATTATATTATTATGTAATACTGTTACAATTTTAATAATTCACAAGTAAACAAATTTCTGACCACAAAATTTTGCAGTTGTACCCAGCCCTCCCCTAAATACGGCCCTGCGCAAGTGGCTATAAATTATATATAAAAAAAAAACTATTTAAAAATATTTATTAGAACAAAAGTCATTCCAAAAGTCAGTTCTATCTATTACACCCTGTATACAAAGGCATACTGTATATTATGTGCCTACTAAGTCTACAGAAAGAAAGAACACTCAACAACTCTGTAAGTATATGATATTAAAAATAAGGGTCATCATTAAAAAATAAAATAGTTCTGAGACGCAAATGTAGAATACATCTGTTAAAAAATTATAAATCAAATAAATGTAGGCCCAGTACAATAGTTTTACAAACTGAATACAATAATTTAATAAGGTACAGAGTAACATAGTTAATGTTTACTCTGTTTCTGTATAACATGCATGGATAATATTTTGTTTTTCTTTAGTTAACTGCAATAATTAATATTTTTGACAATAATCTTAGTTTTCACTACACCATGTCATATTGTGGTCCATATATTTAATAAGTAGGTAACAAAATGTCAATAACAAATTACCTACAAGTTGAATATAATATTCAACTCTATATGACACAGATAGCGGAAACCCAGTTTACTTATAAATTCATGAATTACATTTTAAACATTGGACAGGACTAAGGTACGTTGGCATTGTATTTAAAGAATAAAATAAAGAATAGTATTTATTATATAAAGCAGTGAGGAGTTTTTAGTTTGTCCTTGCTAACCTGGAAAACAAGTGAACCAATTTCTCTGAATTTTTGCAGTTATTCCTGATAATCCCATGAAGATTTTAGCACCAATTTTAGCCTTCAAGATGCCCTCTTCCAACCTCCATAGACAATTGTTTAGGTAAAAACCTTATATATTATACATGGTTATTGGTTTTAATTGGTGAGAGAAAACAAAATGGTACACGTTATTAAGATATTGGGATGATTGGAAAATGTTCAAAATTGTATTATTTATTTGATAACCGCCATGGAAATTCGATATTCATAAAATTATAGTTAGAGGAGTTGTTTTCAAAAAAGTTGATTTTCTAATTTGTAGTTATTGATAAGTCATCTATCTAAGGGTTACAGCACAACTTTGGAAAATTGACTATTTTGCAATTATTAAAACTCTTATTTTTATTTTTATTATCTTGCGTATCACAAATAACGCTTCAAATTGTATGATTTTTAAATGTAGGTACATGATAAAATGTAAAATTGCATGAAAAACACAAAGATACATCTGTCTATCTGTATGTCTTGGAAAGGGTTCGAAACAAATTAACTGATATATGACGGGGTTTTCCGTTATTCTATGACCTGGTAAATAAAATAGTTATTATGATTGGATATAATTTTACATCCATATTTTAAATTTGATCAAAAGAACCCAAATAACAACTGTATTAAAAATCTTAGCAGCTTACATTTAACAGAGTTTAAGGAGGCAAAACCGTACAGGACCAGCTAGTACAGAATACAATATTATAAATTTCACTTAAGTATCTATTTAATATTACATTTTTGATTTACCAGAGTGTTGATGATGACACATCAATAATTGAAATGTTGATCGACAGTCTAAAAAAAAACATTTATCAATAATTAAAATAGTTCCTTGCATAATACCTACCACATAATAGAATTGTAATTTATTAGGTATTGATCGATTATAGCAAGACAATATCAAAAACATAAATCGAGAAGGATGATACACTTTATAGAGGTGACAATCGAAACTTACCAGGTGAACCTTAGGCTTCGTATTCAAAGGGAACAGTATAGGACAAAAACCTTGACACTAATGTTGTAGCAGCGATATATTTTATTCTAGGAATCCCGTTCAAAATACACGATAAAACGCAGTGTCATACGCAGGCGATGTAGAACATTTAACAATTAATGATCATAATAAAACATGGCCGAAAAATAATTCACAACACTCGTCATTTCATTGTATTCGACAAAAAATTATACCCGATCAAATATTATACAATCTATATAGCCATATAGGTAGGTAATAATAATAACAATCACTATAATACTAGTATAATATCGGGCCTCTGCTGTGTAGTGTGTAATTAATAATTAATAATTAATGTTTGTTATTTGTGAACGGTCCTTATCACACAAATTCGATTGACAATATTCTGTGTTTGAGCGTTTTTGCGAGAATCACGGTTGCACAGCATAACAAATCGATATTACAATATTTTGCATCGCGTTATCAATTTTCATTTGTTTGGCAGGCATGTGATTATCAGGTCGCGCCGCCACCGCTTACTCTACTCAAAAACGTTGAGAACTCAAAAATTGTATTCAACTTTTTAAATAAATAAAAATTTGAGAACCGTCTGCTGATCAGTGATCATCAATCACCATTGGTCTTATTACCTGAGTACATTTCCAGCTTAAAGTGCAGTTAACTTGACTCTTAAAAAATGTCCATTGAAATCGAGTCCGCTGAGTTCGTAGTATCCATAACTATATTATTATTCAATGTATTCAACAAAATGTTCTCATTACCTTACTAACTTAACTTTTTTTACAGTGTCATCCGACTTATACAGCAATATCTAAAGGAGTCAAATCTAATGAAATCTCTGCAAACCCTTCAAGTATTTATTTTCACTATTCCACTGTTGAACGTATATTAAAAAAAAACCATTTTTGTGATAAAAAAATTGAATGTACCAACAGTTTTTTTTGTTTGGATTAGGTTTTTTATAGTAAATTCGTTTTCAATAATTTATTTATAACATTTTCTAGGAAGAAACCAGTGTATCATTGAACACGGTAGATAGTATCGATGGTTTTGTAGCAGATATACACAACGGTCATTGGGATACAGTATTAAAAGCGGTACAGTCGTTAAAATTACCTGATAGTAAATTAATCGATTTGTACGAACAGGTTAGTATCCTACTAGTATTTATATTAAAGAAATAATAATAATTTAAAATATGACTATATTTATTAATTGGCAGGTTGTATTTGAACTAATAGAGTTACGTGAACTTGGAGCTGCTCGATCACTTTTACGTCAAACAGATCCTATGATTGCTTTAAAACAACATGAACCTGATCGTTATATACACCTTGGTATGATTATATTATATATAAACAGTAGTCACAGTTATTCAAACTTTTTTATAATTTTAGTAAATTATTCTTACCCTATACTTTTTTACAATAAGCTAAATATTTTTTTACATTAATTACTCTTCAGATTCAAATTATTGTGCTGTTTGTACATTTTTGATTTTAACATTATTTTTTTTTATTCTAGAAAATCTTTTAGCTCGTTCTTATTTTGATCCTCGTGAAGCATATCCTGAAGGTACATCCAAAGAAAAACGTAGAATTGCTATTGCCCAATCATTAGCTGGTGAAGTATCTGTAGTACCATCATCAAGGCTATTAGCACTGTTAGGACAAGCATTAAAGTGGCAACAACATCAAGGCCTTCTACCTCCAGGTATCTTAAGATTAATCATTCAAGTATTGAAAAAAAACTATATTAGGTATATGAATTATTAATTTTTGCTTTTAGGTACTTCAATTGATTTATTTAGAGGTAAAGCAGCAGTTCGAGATCTAGAGGAAGAAACATTCCCAACTCAATTATTTAAGCAAATTAAATTTATCCAAAAGAGTCACGTAGAATGTTCTAGATTTTCACCAGATGGCCAGTTTTTGGTGACTGCCACTGTAGATGGATTTATTGAAGTATACAATTTTGTTACAGGAAAAATAAGAAAAGATCTTAAATATCAAGCTCAAGTAATATTAATTGTCTAAAACAATTGATACCTATAATATATTCTTGTAAACAACAATTTTTTTCAGGATAATTTTATGCTTATGGAAGATGCTGTACTAAGTTTAAATTTTTCTCGCGATAGTGAAATGTTGGTATCTGGCTCCCAAGGTGGAAAAGTAACTGTTTGGAAAATACAAACGGGACAAGTAATGAGGAAATTTGAAAAAGCTCATGTACTTGGGATTACTTGTGTACAATTTTCTCGAGATAATACTCAAATTTTGACTGGTTCCTTTGATATGACTATAAGGTGAAATTACTAATAGTAATAGAAAAATGTATTCTTTGTAAAAGTTATATGAACGTTATTTTTTTTTATTAAAACAGAATTCATGGCTTAAAATCTGGCAAAACGCTTAAAGAATTTAGAGGACATACATCATTTATTAATGAAGTCGTATATACTGTTGATGGTCACAGTGTAATCAGGTGAATATTATTATAAGATTTGCCTTAATGATTATTATAAATATATTTTACACATATATAGTGCGTCTAGCGATAGTACTGTAAAAGTTTGGAGTGTGAAAACCACAGAATGTACACACACCTTTAAATCCATGGGAGCAGCTGATGTGGCTGTTAACAATGTGCATCTTTTCCCTAAAAATCAAGATCATTTTGTTGTTTGTAACCGTTCAAACACTATTGTAATAATGAATATGCAAGGCCAAGTAAGTAATAAACTGATATATTAAGAGGACGTCATACCCGCATATGTTGTCTCCGTCTTACTAATGCATGATATATCAAAATGTACATCCAGCAGTTACAATTTTGTATTGTTAGCCTTAAATATTGAAATGAATTGACTTATTAAACTTAAATGTAAGAACATTATCTGTGTTCTCTAGTTGGTTTTTTACGATATTTTAATTTTAAGTGAATTATTATTACTACAATATTAATATTTGAAAATGCTCATAATTCACTGAAAATTAAAATATCATAAAAAACCAATGAGAGTAAAACAATAATGTTCTTACATTGTTTGATAATAAGTCAATTCACTCAAATATTTTAACTAACAACACAAAATTGGCATTGCTGGAAGTACATTTTTATATATTATGAGTTAGTAAGATGGAGACAACATTATGTAAATATACCTAATGAAAATATTTTTAAACTAACATTATACTAATAAAAAAATATATAAATTTAAAGATTGTCAGATCATTTACAAGCGGTAAACGTGAAGGTTGCAATTTTGTATGTTCCACTGTGTCGCCTAGGGGAGATTGGATATATGCAGTTGCCGAAGATTATAATTTGTACTGTTTTTCTTTGAACAGTGGAAAGTTGGAAAAAACCCTACAAATACACGAAAAAGATGTTATTGGACTAACACATCACCCTCATCAAAATTTATTATGTACTTACTGCGAAGATGGTATGGTACGATTATGGAAACCTTAAATTGTTAATTTTTACTATCCTAATAGTATAAACTAAAACATTTTTTTAACTTTAAAATAAAAAAATAATTTTTTATGATAATAATTTGTTTAATAAATATAAGACATAAGTATTGTGTATTGAGTATCATAATATTGTAATAAATCTAATAAAAAATAATTTAGTTACTTTTTAAATTTTAATAATGTATATATGATATATTCTGTTGTGTATGTGTATTTTTAATTTCAGACAAATTTAGTCTAGTTCATTGACTGTATACTGTAAACCAAAATAATTTTAATAAAGAAATATATCTTAGTCTGTGCTTTAAAGTTTAAACAGTATACATATATGTACTGGCTAATCAAAAATTGTTCTCATACATTTGTAATTTGTTCATATACCTATTAAGATATGGGTTTTGCATTCCTCTCCCTGTAGCACTGCTATTCTCGAGAGAAAAAATGCACTTAAATTAAAGAGTACTTGTGGAAACCGAACCATTTTTAAGGGGTCATGTTTAGACAATATACTATGTACAATATCCATCGTGAGTTATGTGTGGCTGTGTGTGTAGTGACTGATAAGTGAGTGTGTTCCCGAACGTAGCTTTAGGTAAGCTATGGTCTATGGATAAGCTTCTTGGAAATCAGTAACGTATATACGCGCAGTCACATGTCACTACATTTTGCGATCAAAAACTGTTTCAACATGAAAGTCCCAAAAAATTAACGCAGTGCCAAAAGCCCGATTTTAATTTTGAAAACATTTTTTAATTCCTTATTCTATTTTCTAGGTTATGCAGGAAATGGATTTTTGATTTTTGTATTGTTTAATAATTAGTATAGTGCCAAATGAATTATGTAGATATACATTTTTTTTTTTTCAAAATTCAATTTTACCGTCAAAGCGGGTGAAATGGAACTTTATTGTTGAATTGGAACACTGACTTTTCTTTGTTGAATTTGATAAAACTTCGCGAGTTTTCATTAGATATCCTTGATCTTTCCATAATATTTTATGTTGTTACATTTCCAAACAGACACAAAAATCGGGTAGGTATGCATATTTTTTAATTGATGTACAACAGTTTTATAACAAACTAGTAGTGTCGGTCCTAATGAGATTGTGACGAGTTTTGGGAAAGCTGTCAGACGCAATTCACGGTAATTTGCCCGACACGAAAACACTCGGCGAGGACCGTACAGCAGGCAGGCAGATCGTAATAATAATGATGGTAATAATATTATACCTAATATCATCGTTGTTATCGCCACTATATTTGGCGATTTTCGTGGGAAGGCATAGGACCCGTCCGTAGTTTATAATATTATAACACTCACTTGACCTAGCCGTACACCCTCGAGGACGCCACCACAAGCTGAGACCCGAAGAGACAATTTTAGACAGTATTTTAGCCCATTTGTAAATTTTCTTTATCAATATTTAGTAGGTACGTACATTGTATACAATTGTATGACAAACTTCAAAGTTTGAGAAGAGTAGTACAAATTCATAAAAAATACGTACCTACTAAATTATGGTGTAGTTACGACTATGATTAATAATTTTTAACCTTGGGTGGGGCCGAAATCACATCACCTCAGCCCCACCCATTATTTTTGTTTGATAACGGGAAAACCAAGACCGTACAAATTTTGAAATTTGTCATACAAATTCTCACAAATTACTTACTAAACATTGGTAAAAAAAATTTTCAAAAATTCCAACTGGGTAGGACGTACGTCAGTTTTAGCCTTTAGGGGTGGGCTCATAGTTTATGCTCAGTTCGCAGCTAATTACCTATACAGATATTTCTTATTCTATTAAATTGATAATCTGATATCACGAGCGACTCGGCCCCTCTTTGTGTGTACCTAATCACGTTCATAGGACTAAACGAAAAGCGAGCGGCTGGTTTTATTTTTACCGAAATCGCAGTCCTTTACGTAATGTGGGTACATATTATATAGTTTTCTTCTGTAGAAAACCGTTCCGATCGCGACTTCGGGTGTGGACTATATTCGTTCGGCAGTCCTAAACTAAATGGTCTTCCATTGCAACCGGTCACCGTAAAAATGCAATTCGAACAAACGCTCGCCACAACTTTATGTTTGGAGAATATTATAGGTAGATATTATTAGTTTCAAATAAACTGCAAATGGCAGAAAACTGCAAATGCGGGTAATTTCCGGGAACGCTTCGTTACTCAAACGCCTGGAGGTTAACTTGGAAATTGAAATAGTTTTGTAGTCTCCTTTATTTTGGAGGGAGGCTTTGTGTAATTTTCGGGGGGGAGGGGCATAGCCACTTCACTACATTGTTCGTTATAATATATCCATTGTTAATTATAACTTATAAGGTAGGTATAACATTAATATCGTATAAATACACAGCTAATATAATATGCATCTGGCTATAATTGAATTAATAACTACTAAATAAGAAATAATATTATATTAAACAATGGCATAATATTATAAATAATATTATCTTGGACCGTAGTAACGAGATTTATTTATTTAAACAATAGTTTTTAAAATCACTTATTTACACGACCAAAGAAAGACCGGACAAACTTAAGGAGAAACGCTGGTTATATAAATGTCCATTCCGCGGAACTATGGAGAGGCGCCCAACTGAAGTGGCGCCTATAACGAGACATACTGCAGAACTGAGGACGACGAGAGGACCATCGGCGAGCTGTCGGACCGGGATGCCGGAGGACGTGGTCGGCCTTTGCGGTGACCCGGTCACGTTCTCGTTGGGTCTGGACGACGGCTTGGGGCGGTGCACTACAACATATGCGGCCGAAAGCGAATCAGACGGCGGAGCAAGAGGATGGCTCGATGGCGGAGAAAAATATAAGATATGGCATGCAGCGGCGACACACGCAGCAGCCGCAAACGCGGAAAAAGGATAGGGAGGAGCAGGACACGTTTGGAAATTAGCCGCCGCCGAAGGACCACCCCGAAAGCATATGTAACGGAAATGCTGCCCGCGTCCGGGAAACCGGCCCGCCCGGCGACGGGATTCGTTCTGCAGTGGCGTTATGGGAAATCGGCAGGGCGAACCGGACGAGAAAGGCAGGCTGCGGAGATCGAGGTGCATATATATACCAGAGTTGGTGTCGGAACCGGAGATGGTCGAAGGAGGTACTGACGAGAAGTGACGGTGAAACTGATGAGGGGGTAAGGAGCGACGGGGCAGTTCCACGAGAAGCGCGACAAGAAATATTTTTAAGAAATATTAAAACGATTCGACTGCATGACAAATAATTACTTACATTACAACCAGGCCGGCCAAAAGCCGGCCGTGACAGATGAACCTTTACCTTAAACATTACCAAATATAACGACCACATAACATACGTAAGTTATATAAGTATACAGTATTTTTGAACTAATATAGTGGTACAACTTATTAATTATTATAGACCATAATATTATGATAATGTCGAAAAATCGTGAATAATTTGTTTAAATTTGTGTAAAATTATAATTTCAGCATAATTTGCGGGTTAACCGGCGAGTTTCCACTAATTAATATGCTCGCCGGAACCAGGCCGGCCAAAAGCCGGCCACGACAAATCAGCCTCACCGCAGAAACCCCGAATTGAACAGTACCAAACAAAATCACAACACATAACATACGTAAGTTATAATTAAACTATAGCGTTACAACTTATTATAGACCAATTTGTTAATTTTCAGTAAAATTATAATATTTCAGCATACAACACGATTGATTAACCGGCGAGTTTCCACTAACTATGCTCGCCGGAACTCTTGAAGCCTTATGTCGCGCTTCTCTGGACTGCCAACACCGTCACGCTCCTTACCCCCCGATCTGCAGTTTCACCGTCACTTAGAAAATTCCTCCTGTCACCATCTCTGGGTCCGACGAGCACCTCGATCAGCAGCCTGCAAAAGCTGTCTACAGTCCGAACCGCCCGGCCGAACGCCTTGCCGCTGCAGAACGAACACGAACCGGTTGCACGGACGCGGGCAGCGTTTCCGTGATCGAGGTCCTTTGCAGGCAAAGGCTGATTTCCAAACTCGTCTCCACCTGCTGCTCCCTGATCCTTTCGGTTGCTGCCACCGCCGCTGCATGCCGTATTCTTCGCGGTCGAGCTCCCGCACATCCTCGCTTGCTCCGTCCAGACCACTGAACCGCAGTCGGCCGGATGTATAGTTGTAGTGCACTGCGCCGTCCTGGTCCGACAGCCCGTCACCTCAGAAGATCCTCTCGTCGTCTTTGCAAGTGTGCAGTATGTCAGTAAAATCCGCGGAAATGGACATTTCACACCAGCGTTTCTCCTCGACGGTTTGTTCGAACGTCCGGTCGATACTGTGGTCGTTTCAGAAAAAAGCATTAAAAATAAAAAAGAATTTCATTGTTTTATATTAATAAAGAAAATTTACTAATAACATTGATAATATTTTTTATTTTTGTTCATAACTCATAATACTTACGATATTGTATAACTAAAATAACTAGTATAATTATAATACCAATTAGTTCAATATTAAATGTTAGAATTTGAGTGTAATGTACAATTTAAAATATGCATGCTAATCGTGTTCAATGTTAATGTAAATTAAATCAAATGTAAGTATTGATTATGATATTAATATATTATGTGTAAAGAATACATACCTCGAAAAATGGTATTGGTGAAAACTAAAAATCACTCATTTAAAATTTAAAATGACAATGAATGTCTATGTCTAACACCAATTCGTAGTTAAATTATACAACAGTACATATTTTTTTCAAGTACTTTGTTCAAAAGTTGGTTACTTAAAAAGTAGGTATAGTTGAATACTTTTACAGTTAACTCAAGTACTTTACAAGATTCCTATGCGTCCATTTTACTTATGAGTTTTTGATGAGACAAAATTAGAAATAGTACTATAACAAATACCTTATGTAGTGAAAAAAAAAGGTTTATTTCATATGCGAGGGGGGAAAGCTAAAGTAGGCAGGGGTAAAGCGTTAAAGTTTAAAATAGTAAA